TTGATTGTTGAATCATCACAGACGTTTACAAGAATATATATTTTACATTGTTAAATTCAAAGGTAATGTCTAACCTAAATAATTACCTAAAGTTTACTGTTATTTTCATGCAGGCATTTTTCTCACAGGGAAAAGAGGAAAAGGGAATATGTAAAGAAAATAAAGTCAATAAATGTCTCTTTTTCTGCAAATCCATTAATGAAACATGATTTCATTTATGAAGACAAAAAGACAAAACCAAAATTTAAAAGGTAAACAGTGATCAAATAAAAAAAAAAAAAACAGTGATAATAGAAATACTAGTGGATATATCGCGCGACGTTACAGCTTATGAATGTTTAGAAATTAGCCAAACCTAATTAATTTGATTAACTAATACTATTAGTCACTAGCTATTAAGAAAACACATTTATTTTAACTAATTTAGTTTGCATATTGATTTTGAATAGATTTTATCATACAAATATTAGGTTTTGCTATTCTTCATTGTATATCATTAATATCAATTTATTTTTATAATAAAAGTGAAAAAGAGATGGACTTTAATTTGCTCCTACTTCTATTATGTTATTGTATCATGGCATTGCAATTGTAGTAAACATGTTATTCATTACATGATTACACTGATCACTCCAAATACAAGTTATTGTGTCAGACAATTTAACGATTAAACAACTAGATCGAGCATACTTAAAAAAAATGTATAATCATATAATAAAATGTTATACTTTTCGTTATAATTATTTAACGATATGTTTGATTAAAAGAGAGACCTATCCCAAAAAAATCCAATAAATGCTCATAGGAGTAATTTTTTTTTTATAACCAAATACTGTAGGTGGATTTTATAAAATAACTCAAACTTTTGTTTGTTTGTCAAAGGATCTTCTATTTGTTCGCAATTCTATTTGATTGCTTTTAGGACGGGAACAAACAATCGATCTTCGAAGATCTTTATAATTTTAAGATTCCATTCATTGATTTTCTTGTAACAAAAATGATCCACGATCTAAAATTCAATGGAAGCATGCATTCGGTGCATCATTAGATACATTTAACCATAGGAAAAAAAATGTAAAAAAGTCATCGACATTTCTCTTTTTGAATAACTAGTGCGTAGCCCGTGCGATGCACGGGAAAATAATATTAAATAATAACTATATATTAAAGATGCAGTTAAATAGCATTAAATAATAATAAAAAGTTAAATATTTGGCATTAAAATGTAATATAATTTACGTATATCGGGTTGTTGTACAATATAAAATTATCATGTGCAAAAGAACATAAAACATGTATGTTTAAAGTATTAAAAATACCCAAAATAACATATGTAAAGATATCTAAAATATTCTACATTATTTTTAAAAAATGTTAAGTCACATAAACTATCACTAAACTATTTTGAGCACCTAAAGATATAAATTCTAATGTATAGAATGGGCAAAAAAAATTAAAAAATCTAAAAGGTATCTAAAATATTATGTGTGTGAGTATTGAATGTGTAAATAAATAATAAGTACTACACTCTAATATCTCACGTTGAACTTTATGAGAGATTATTTACATAGTAGATATTGTCTATATGTCTTGTATATCAGTTTTATATAGTTACTATCAACATTGTCTATATGTAATGTATCGTATGCCAAGTGATTTTGATTATATCTCTTTTATCATATTTTGTACCAATTCATCCATTAGTTCTTATTTTTTTACCAATTTCACAGAAATATATTATATGAATTTGTGTATATCTCGCCAATGCTAACGCATTTAGTATTAAATACATAACTTGGAGCATTTTGTTAGAAAGAATTATTATTCCTTGCATTGGAATATATTACATAAACCTATATAAAAATTTCAGAAATTTTTATTTTGTTGAAAAATTTTCAAATGATGAAAAACTATAAAATAAAATATAGTTATTAAAATTAATATGATATAAAATAATAAAATATTAATTGAAAATGGTTGAAATTAAAATATCAGATGTGTAATAATATTATTGTAATTGTTAGGTTTGTAGTAATATTATTTGATATCCATTCACAATCTTATTGACAAAAATTTAAAATTTTCTTCATAAATCTAATTAAACAAAAAATGAGTAATCATTTATCTTCATTATTCATATATTAATTAATTAAGTAAATAATTTTAATCTCATTGATCTTGCTTTATCTGCCGACAAATACTCAAATTATTCTCTAATCTAACGTGTTGCCCTTGTCATATCATATATTATTATAGATTTTTTACTAAGATAAAGATGGATTTTTTTTTATTTCAATCTTTGGAATTTAAACATTTTCTAAAAAAAATTGAAATACAATTAGGCAAGGTTTTTTTAAATTTGAAATTTAAATATAACAAATTCCATGATTTATGATAGCATTAAATGCGGCCTAATTTTTTTATTAAAAAATAAAAAAACATTCTAAAAATAGAATGTAATTAATATTCCATATTTTTTTGCTTACTATTTTAATAAATAGTATTCTTATTATTTATATATATATATATATATATATATATATATATAATAGTTATCA